GGGAGGGAGGAAGGAAGGAAGGAAGGAAGGAAGGAAGGAAGGAAGGAAGGAAGGAAGGAAGGAAGGAAGGAAGGAAGGGTCTTATTCCAACAGATTTACAAGGGGAACCTAACTCTTTTATAGTGATTTCATATCAGTGAGTGAAATTGTACATAAAATATCTTGGACATAGCCCATTATCCTACAGGTGTCAAATGCTATGATTAATTTGAATCTATTTTCACTAGGAATATGTAAGAGTGCCTAAGAACAAATATAAAATATAATAGTTTGAGGACACTACTTCAGTTTCTGTCTTTCCCCATCTCCCACCCCTTATTATTATCTTTTAAGATCTTCTTGTACTTCAGAGAAAGATAAACTAAATATATTAGCCATAAAGAATTTCTCCTGCTTATTCCTCCTTCTTTCACTAGCTTTATACCTCTACCTTTTATGCATGTCTTGTTGATTTATGGATCAGCAAATCAATATGTCAATAAACCTATCAACAGTTGTAGTTCCCAGATATTCTGTTATTTCAGCACTGCAGATCCCATGGAATTATGGAGCGTCTCAAGGATACAGAATGTGAGAAAGGACAACATTGTCTCTGTGCCAAACCATCAAAGTTCATGCAACCATATGGAGTTGGCTTAAATGAAATAACTGGAGCCAATGAGGCTGATTATATACCAAAATTCCAGGGACTGCTCTATAATGATATTCAGAGAAAGTAAAACCACTCTACTATAAGATAACAGTGACAAAGGCAAGCAAGGTATAGGGAGGACTGTGCATTCAAGCAGTAGATAATCACTTCCTTGCAAAAATCCTACAGGTAGTCCTTGATTAACAACAGCAATTGGGACCAGAATTTCTGTTGCTAAACAACGTGGTTGTAAACCATGTCATCACATGATCATATTGCTTAGTGATGGCAGTTCCAGCACTTCCCAGTTGCCTTCGTTAAGCATATCCCACACCACCATTAAGCAAGGACATCATGTGGTTGCCATTGGCAACCTCCTGCTGGCTTCCCCATTGACTTTGCTTGTCGGAAGCTAACAAAAAAGTTCACAAATGGCGAACACATGACCGCATGCCTCTCCAACATGATAATCACATGCCAGGCACTGAGCACCTAGATTGTGATCATGTGACCATGAGGATGCTGGGACAGCCAGAACTTTGAGGACCAGTCGTAAGTATGACTTGTGCAGCGCCATTGCAAGTTTGAATGGTTGCTGAATGAGTGGTCATTAAGCAAGGACCACCTGTACCTGCACTTGCATGGGGACAACTCTCCATTACTAATTTTACCTTGCAAGTTACAGTATGCTTTCCTGCAGTGTTTTGTAAACTATATTCCTAGAACATCTCTGTTCTCCAAACATCATGAAAGCTGATTTGCAAGCTGACCCGATTCCAACTACATTCTTCTTCAACATATATCTGTGTAACTGGATTTTCAGCACTACAATCAAGTCCAAAAATCTAAATAGGCTTAATGCCAAACTAATACTTGCATATATAACAACTACACTATTCCCTTTGGGGTCAGACAATGTTATGCTTTATGCATCTGCAGCGTTACTATTTTTCAACCTATTTTTCACAACATTTATTACTTCCTTTTCATCAAATTTGGCTTGGACACTAACATTTATAGCATTCATTTCAGTCTCCCTCTTCAACATACAGGTAGTCCTCAACTTAACCACCGTGTGTTCAGCAACCATTTGAAGTTATGAATGCACTGAAAAAAGTGACTTACAACACGTGCCCAAAGTTAGGCTGTTGCAGTGCTTCTACCTGCACTTATGATGACAGGGGTGCTTCCATTCCCCCCACCCACCTATTTCCCTCCATCTAGGCTTTTTGCCCTACTGCCACCCTGAGCTCTGCCGCCCCAGCTGACTTTCGCCATCTTCTTGCTCCCGCTGTTGCTAAGGTGTCCCTGGCCTGGCTGTTGGGCTGGGCTGGACTTTGGCTGTTGGGGAAAAAAAAATGTCAAAATCTGCCCCGGAACAGGGTGCCAAAAAACCCTGAGCAGGGCAGGGTGGGGCTGGGCTGGGCTGGGCTGGGCTGGGGTGGCTACAGCTTCCCAGGGCGTGGCAAGCAGCTTCAGACCCGTGTGGTTCTGGGGCTGATTACCATCCTGCAAGGCAGAGTGCAGGGCATCCAGAAGGGCAGAGATGGGGCGGGGATAGGCAGGTGGGTGGAGTTGGAGGCAGTCCCTCACCTTACTGAAACTCGGGGCTGGGAGGGACCAAGCCTGGAATGGAGTGGGTACTCGATTAATGACCTGCAATTCTCAGTTAACAACAGCAACTGGGACTGCCAGGATTGTGGTCACTAAGCGATGCAATCACGTGACATCTTGCTTTATGACCGTATCACTTAGCGATGGAAATTCCAGTCCCAGTTGTGGTCATAAGTATACTGTATCAGTATAATGTCATAATATGCAAGCTCATACGTCTGAATGTTGTATAATGTATTAAATGTAAGGAATTACCTTTAATATTTTTAAAATTATAAAAAGAGTCATAAATGTTCCCTGTTCAAGAATATTTCAGGTGAGTGCAAAGCGTTCCAAGAGGCACTTTGAAGGCCACATTGGCACAAAGGAAGCATGTTTCCCAGAAGGTTTAGTGTGTCTCTGGTTGTCTGTGGTATGTATTCATGTATAGACCACATCTCCAGTAGGACTGCCAGCCAAGTGATGCAAATGCATATAGATACATACATAACCAGGAACAGCCTTCAAAGAAACAGTGCAAATATAATAATAGGGAGGGAATTCTTATTCCCTTCTACCAGTTATCAAATGTTTTACTTAGCAAACCATCTTACTGGTCTCCACTGCTGATTGAATGAAGTAATTTCTCCTAAATTCTAGCCTCTTTTTCTTCCCACCTTTCACTGCTTTATTAACTGTTTTTAATACACTATTTTTTTCCTTATGAAAATGTGTATAGAGTCATGATTATGACTCTCATATAGCATTACTACCTGCTTTGTGAAGGCAAAATCACATCTCAATGATTTCTTATACCAGCTAATTTCTTTTAAATAATTTCTGCTTTGTTGTGGAACACCGTATGGAGATAATTAATCTGTATTTAAGTTGGCGATGATGCAATTGATCTGAGTAGTGGAAAAGAGAATCATATCTTCATCAGGGGAGCTAGAAAAGAAAACCTGTTTCAATATATTTTCAAACAAAGACTAGATTGTGTAATATCGATAGCAACCCTTATCAGTTCTGCTTTAATGCAAGTTAAGCCCTTTGTCAAATGAAACTGCCAGGAGCAAACAGAGCAGAATAACTCTTAATCTTTCCTACTGCTCAAGTCTTCTGAAGACTTGAGAGAAATATTGGGCAGATCCAAACTCTACATGTCTGCTTTAGGTAATGATGCCACAAAGGTTTGGAATGTTGCTGCTGTTTGGTATGGATAGGAAGGAAAAAGCTCGAAACAAAACAAATTAAATGAAGAGATTCTCCAACCAAATTACTTTTGAGATTGGTATTTTCCCATAACCATAATGCTGTTTACAAGTAACATGGAGATTATTGTACTGTAATATCACAATGCAAAAGGGAATAGTTGGCATTTTCTGGAAGACATATAAAAATGTCACTGCTGCTTTGGCAATGCATCCTAGCATGAAAGACACAGGATGGGAGGGGAAAACTTGAAATTTACCCTAACCTCAGATAATGAAATGTATGCAATTAAGTGTAATTGTAGACAAAGCAGGTCTGCAGCTTTGTGATATTTTCCATTACTAGCAGGCAACATGGCCATTATTATTGGATCCATGGAAAGAGAAACAAAGACATTGCTAGATAGCAATACACAAATCTGCAAGGAGGATGTCAATATGAGAGCAACATGGCTGGACACAGCTTAGATACCGCCAGGACCAGAAATATTGGAACAAGGATAACTGTTTTGGCATTTGGCCTCTGTATACCACCACACTGAAGCTGAAAAGAAACACACCCAGATGGGAGCGAAGTCAGGGCTTTCAGCTGAAATTCAAGGGGTTTGACAAAAGTGGGGCACCAACCATTCAGGAAGTACAGCCAGTGGCACATACACACCCCATCGTTGGTGGCTCATAAGTAATGGAACGAATGGCTGACAACCAGCTTCATGGCCAGGTGTAGCCTGTTTCTTGGGTGCCCCAGGCCCAATCAAGCAGATAAAAGGCCTGGAGGTGGTTCTGAGTGTTACATTTGCATTTGGTAGCT